CATAATACTGTTTATTGATTTGAAGTTTCAGGTGCTTCTTTTGACTTAATGATCTTCTTTACCATAGTGTCCTTCAAGTAACGGCTAACACATCTGACACGCTTCGAGAGGAACGGAGCTTCCCTACATGGATTTACTTCAAGAGATTGAGGAGCTCTGGAAACATTCGTCTTGATTGGTCTCGAACCCTCAGAATCTGTCTGATCTGATCTGATTCGGACAATGGATGATTTAACCCCTCCTTAGCAGACATTATTGATCTAGCTGAAACTGTGCTGGACAGAAAACGTTAAAAGAAGCACAAACAAAAACCCAAAGACGGGCATGTTGGACAACTCAAAGGTCTCCATCGAGCTGGGTGTCGCCAGGCTCGGGACCGTCGCCGAACCCCAGAAACCACGTACGTCATCGAGGGATGAGAACCGTCTTAGCTCTCCCAATCCTGACAAGGAATGCAACAATCGCACCCGAAATGCACTTAGCAATACTTCTTCTCAGAACGTCCCAGGCACGTCCACAGACTGGGCTGAACCTGATGGTGTTGACAGGAGACGCAGTTTGGCGACGTTATCTGAGACCTCGAGGACTTCCAATGCCAACACTGAGGTTTCTCAGAGCTCTCGCAGCAGGTTTATAGTGGATGATGAACCAAGCGAATCCCGTCGGACGTCAGGCCGCGGCGTGCGCTCCTGTTTCCGTGCGGTGAACATGGCGTTTCTGCGCTGTCTGGAGGAGACGCCGCTGCTGGTGTCTGGAGTAGTGCTGGCCATCCTCTTCTGCGTGACCATCATCATCATCATCCCCTCCACCGGCCGGGTAAGAGCCGACTGACACGCTTATCAGTTACTCACCTTGTGTTGTTTGCAAAAAATGCATAATTTTGTGTGCATCCCTGCTGGATAAACCTGATCCTACCTGATTAAGGTGATCACTATAGGGAACAATTCACCTAGAAATGAAAGTGTGCTCACCTGCAGGCCATCCGAGATCAGGATGAGTGTGTTTCTTCATCAGGTTTGGAGAAATGTAGCACTGCATCAGTGTCTCAGCAACAGATGTTCTGCAGTGAATGGGTGCCGTCAGAATGAGAGTCCAAACAGCTGATAAAAACATCACAATAATCCACAGCACTCCAGTCCATCAGTTAACATCTGGAGAAGACAAAAGCTGAAACTAATCCAGCATTAAGACGCTTTTAGCTAAAACACATTGAGTCCATAATCCATAATAACTCTTCCTCCAGTGAAAAAGAGCATCTGCTGTTGTCTCTCACATCAAAATCCAGCCACATATGTGTTTAGAGCTGTTTAAACGCTGCTTGATCTGTGCAGATTTCTCTCCTGATTCAGACTAGGGCTGTGCAGTTAATTGAAATACAGTTTTGATTTCGATTTCGGACTCCAACGATTATAAAAATACAATAATCGAGATAAAACGATTATTGCGGCCCATTCCGCCCCCTTTCCAGCAGTGCGCTTTCGCTCCTGCATAAAAGGTCAATTTTAATGCAAATCAGTAAAATCATGTAACGTGACTTTTGCAAAAAAGTTGATTAGATTTATTCATGTTTTTAAAAGCACGAAAGAAAACTTCCTCAGGACGGAGCAGAACACACATGTACATGTAAAGTCATCTTTTAGCATCTTTTTGTCAGCGGCACTTAGTGATTATTCACATAAACCCTCATCGGTTATGTAATAAATTAACATATGAACAACTTGTGGATTATTGTGATGTTTTTATCAGCTGTTTGGACTCTCATTCTGACGGCACCCATTCACTGCAGAGCATCCATTGCTGAGACACTGATGCAGTGCTACATTTCTACAAACCTGATGAAGAAACTAACTCTTGGCCTGAGGATGAGCACATTCTGATGAACTCTTCCTTTAATCTAGCTTCAGCAGTGTTTTCCAGCAGGTGTGGGTAACGCTTGAGTGTCTAAATGAAGTGTTTGTTTCTCTCACGCATCCAGAGCCTCAGCGCTCACGTGGCAGCGTTTGCAGTGGTGTGTGTGGTGGTGTGTGTTTGCGTGTCGCTTCTGCTGTGTTTGCCATGTTTGCCGGTGGTTCGGCGGGGAGAAACGCCTCTGGCGCTCTTCATCTGGTCCATGCTCTTCATCATCGCCTTCGTCTTCATCTTCACCGGAGGCGTCGTCACGGCCTGGGAGCAGGTCAGCTGAGGACGCTCGTTTAGATTAATTTACACTTTAATTTATTCCTAGTCCTTATGACAAGGATGCTATTTTTTTGTTTTTAAATCCAGAAAACATGCTTTCTGCCATTACACAGATCTTGAAGATAAATGTAATTACCTCATTTTAAGTATTTTTAGGTGTGGTTTCTAGACAAGGAAAAGTCATGTAAATTATTTAAATGTAATCTAATATCTGAAGATATACACAGTTCTGGCATGAAAGATGGCGCAGTCCGATAGGTCTAACTCAATCTGACCTAATGACATCATTATCACATGGCACAGCTGATTGGTTCTCTCCTGTATCGGTAGCCAATGAGCTCGCTGCTCAACATTCAAATATATGACTAGTGCTTGCTGTAGCAGTTGCAGCTTGCTTCAAAACCCTCCACCTTCCCCAGCTCCACCTGTATAGATCTGCTACGAGGTGATTCATGTATGCTATATGGGGGTTATTTCATGTATATTTGCAGCAGCAGTATTTCTTACATGCTCACAGCAGCATGTTGTGGATGTATTGGCAGCAGCAGCAGCAGCGTAGCAAATCTATTCCGCCAAGACCAAATACATTAACATTGTCATGTACATTACCATGCCAATCCCTCCGAGAGTTGTCATGACAGAAATACAGAGTTCTGGTTATGCAAAGCTGAGAAATATTTTCATTACAACTTGCTAGTACAAAATATTTGTTAACATCCTTAATGCTCATCCAGGAAATCAGGAAACTCTGAAAGCGGAGGATTCCTAAAGAAGCATGAAACTAATGCTTTTCTAAATTTTAATTATTTAAAATTTTAATAGTACAGTTTTAATAGTCCATCATTTAGGTTTGCATGTATTATGAACATACCTGATTTGAACAAGATTTTGAGTGCAAAGATTAAAAAGTAATAAATTCTGATTTTGTTTTGTTTTAGTTATATTAGTACATCAAGCTAAACTATATTAATATGAGAAATGTTGCCTAAAAATTATATTTTTATGAATTTTTGTAATTAATATAAACGAAAAGTAACAAAAATTTGTTTTTTTTATGGTTTTAGTTGTAGTTGTCTATAATAACTTTTTCTTCATCAGGTCGCGTTCTTCCTCTTCCTGTCGCTGTCCGTTTATACGGTTCTTCCTCTCCCGCTCTCATGGGCTCTGAGCTTCGGCATCGGAACCAGCGTTTGTCACATCGTCATCATCAGTGTGTATGTGCCTGTCACAAGCCCACAGACACGAGACCTGGCCGTGCAGGTAACACACACACACATGCACACACTCACACTCACACACAAACTCACACACACTCATACACACTCACACTCACAGTCACACACACACACACACACACACACACACACACACACACACACTCACACACACACACTCACACACACTTACACTCACACACACACTCACAAACACACACAAACATACAGACACACACACACACTTACAGACACACACGCACGCCCAATCTCACACTCACACACACACACACACACTCACACACACTCTCACACACACACACACACACACACACACACACACACACACACACTCACACTCACAAACTCACACACACTTACACTCACACACAAACTCACACACACACACACTCACACACAAACTCACACTCACACACAAACTCACACTCACACACTCACACTCACTCACACACAAACTCACACACACTCACTCACACACACACTCACACTCACACACACACTCACACACACACTCACACACACACACAAACTCACACT